AGATACCTTTAAATTATTATCAGTAGGGTTAAGAACCAACTCTTGTTCTTTTGATTTGATCTCTTCTTCTATTTCTCTACGTCTTTGTGACCCTTTTTCCCTAAAAACTTTATTCAATTGAATCAAAATTCCCCTCATATATGCTTTACTAGCGTCCCACACCATAGACATCGATGTTCCCTTATTCATATTTATAGTAAAAAAGTCCTTTAAATGTTCTTTACACTTTTGTACGAACTCCTCCCGATTAAATAAGTTCTCATTCAATCTCCAGGATCTTCTATTCCCGTCTTCCGAATATAACTCCATCCACACCGGACTATGATCTGACAATGTTCTAGGAAAAATTTTCACCTTCCTCACTCTAGGGAGGAAGTCACTAGTAATCAAAAAAAAATCAATCCTTGAAAATGACTGGTGTCTATCAGAATAAAAGGTAAAGTCTCTATCACTTGTATTCCTTTCTCGCCAAATATCAATAAGCTCCAATTCTTCCTTCAAATCAAAGAAAGTCATAGGTAATTTAGTTTGAATAAAAGTTTTAGAGGAACTTCTTTTGTCTATAGTTGGGTCTAAAACCCCATTCCAGTCACCCATCAAAATTACCGATTTATAATCCAACTGAGATATCTTGCCATGCAGCAACTTATAAAATTGTTTCTGTTGTTGATTGGGAGCATATAGTCCCACAATAAGAACCTTTCGGCCTTGTAATAATAATTCCACAAAAAGATATCTTCCTTCAGAATCAGCCTCAATTAGTTTAGCTGAAAAAGTTTTCTTCACATAAATTACCACTCCCCCTTTTTTCCCAGGGGCTGGAGCAGTAAAATGTGTGCCCAGACGGGAATTCATCAAAAATTTAGAATCCTTTAAAGTTATATGAGTCTCCTGCAAACATATCAAATCATTATTATGTTGTTTCAAATAATGAAAAAAGAAAGAAAAAAAAAGAAAAAAAACCCCACAAATTCTTTGTTCTTATATTGTAATGGTTCCTCTCGAACTTTCCTCAATATTTCATCTCGTGTGTTTTCTTTATGAATCTCACGTGCACTTCTCTAGGTAATTTAAATATCTTTGTATTGCTTGAATTCATTCGAAATACTTCATCTATCTCTATTTGCATCTCTTCTCTATCGGCTTTCAAAGCCTCTGCCAAGAGTTCAATGATCACAACTGCTATGTTTTCATATCTATCTTCAGGAATGTTTTGAAATCTTAAGTAGTGTTCTGCTTTTTCCATTTCTAGGATCGCAACGGCTCCCTCAAGGTTTTGATTTGCTTGTTCTAATTTTTCATTTTCTTGTAATAATATTTCCATTTTTTAAATCAATATCTTCTGATTTATTTTCCATTTTCTGAATTCTTTGTTCATTTTTAAGCAACATTTGATGATGCACTTCGAATTGTGTCTTTACATCCAAAATTTCTTCACTTAGTTTATCAAATTTACTTTGTATCTCTTCATGATTTTTTGCATTAATTCCTGAATCAATTTTAATATAGTTTGCATCTCATTTTGAGCAGTGCTTATTTTTTTCATGCTGCAACATTGTTTCAATAGATTCCTGGGCTGTTGGACTAGGTGTTCCCACAGATTGTGCAGACCAGGTCTTTTTCATAAGTCTAGTAAGGTTTGGTGCACTCATTTTTCCAGCCAACTATTTTAGGCTTAAATCCAAACTGTGAAAGGAGCCAACTACTTTAGGCAAAGTCCAGTATCTCAGGGAGAGAAGACAAAATAATGCAGGCAAAAAGAAAAAAAAGAGGAGAAAGAAGTAAAAAAGCCAACTATCTTCAATTTTAATCCAGTTAAAAGGAAAAGGGGGAAAAAAGAAAAAGCCAACTACTTTAGGCCAAATCCAATTCCTCCAGTCAGATCTCAAATGTAAAACCTTTGCTGTCTCCAAATAATTTCAACAAATTTAATTGTGAAGTCTTCTTTAAAAACTCATGTCAAGGCACTTTGTTTAGACCAGATGTTGTCCCAAGGTCACAGTCTTTCAAAAATATTTTATTATTTATAGTGTTGTGGTATCTTCTTCCACCACTAGATGTCCTTTTTTGCTATTTAGGTCAATGTCTAGTTAAAAAATTATTGCAAAGTTTTCCTTTTTAAAATTCTTTATAGATTATTTACTCTTAGGATTGTAGCTAAAAATTTTTTTCCATCTCTTACACAACAGGTAATCTTTTTTTTAATCAATCTGAGTTCAATTTTAAAAGATTTTTCTTGTATTCCTTAAGAGACCTTCTCCCTTGTACTTGCTTGCTGCTTTTTAGTCCTTCTGGGATATTTGCTTTTTAGCTCTACCCAGTCAGGGGATCAATGTTTAAATTGTAATTACAAAAGGAAAAGAGCCTGGCTCACCCAGTTTCAGCACACTATTGACAATCAGATGTTTGGGGGAGCGCTGCTGCTCCTTGTTTTCCTTCCAGCTGGTGATGACTAGGGCTGCCTGGGTGCACCTGGCAGCCTTTCCTGTATCCTTTCAGAGGGTTTCTTCAGTCTGCCTGGACCAACTGCCATCTGGTCTGGGCTCCTGAATATCCCTCCTTCTTCGTTGCCCCTCCAGGGCAGCTTTCCAACCTCTTAGGGTCGCTGGGCAGACCGAAATTGGGTTGCAAAGCCAGAGCCCCAGCTACTTCCACCCATCCTGTCATGCTCCAAACTGGAAGTTTTCTGTCTTGGGGTACTTAGAATCTCCACTGGGCAGGGTCCACTCTGAAGACCACAATAGCTCCTGCATTTTGGGTCTCGCTCCTGCTGGCAGAACTTCCGAACCCACTTTCTGCAACAACGCAAGGGCTTGCTCTCCCTCTGCTGAGGCAGCCGCCATGGTCAGGTTGCTGATTGTGGGTGCTTCTTTTCTCTCCATACTGAAATCTTCCCTGAATCTTTGTCAACTCCTTCCTGGTTTTGGGAAGGTGACTGGAGCTCAGAACGTCCAATGATGTTAATATAGATGGCAGTTTTGGCTTAATATCATGGTTTCGATAGATAAAATCAGTCAAAGGAACTTCAAGGCAAGAAATTTGTCCTTAAAGAACATTTTATTCGGAAACAAAATATCGGCACTTACATAGTTGAACTCAAAACTAAAAGTTCTCTCCTGTGATACAAATTGCAATTCCCATCCCAAACCAAGCTGTTATACATCACATACCCCAATTACAAAAAAACACAGGCTTTTCTTCCCAACCCTTCTACCGCCAAAATTCTTCACTCACATTGACCTTGATTGTAACCGCAGCTGCAATTGTTATGACTAACTAAGAATGCTTATACCTCCCCCTCTCCGTTTTGTCTGTCTACAAGGAAAACCCCAGCTATAGAGTGGAAAGTTACAAAGAAAAACAAAAGTGAAATGGCTACAATTTCTTCTGTTGTCACAATGCTGACACATTGTTTGTCGAATGCCACAAAGCCACGCTAAACCTTTTAAACAAAAATAAAATCTACATTTTCTTTCAATATTATGTATGAACCAGCTGCGGTGTGTCTATGGGATGGGCATAGAGAGTTGCAAGGATAGAAGATGGCTGCTGCTTTTGTTGCTACTACTGTAAGCACATAAGGAGACCTATCTCTTATGCACGTTCTTAAAAAAATAAGGGTTGTGTTAGATAAAATAAGAGATGTGTGAGGCAGGTAATGACTTAGCTTTTTAGCTTATTCTTTTGTACAGGATGGTGATTTGTTCTGCCACTAAGTAGCTTACCATTAATGGATTAATATGTGTATGGAGTAAATGGCTCACCCAAGTCCCTGAGACATTGCATACAGTTGGATTATGAACCACTTAAGTGCTGGTGAAGTAGTAAACACTCACCCAGCAAGGGAATGCTGTGGGAAACAGAATACTTATCAGAAAAATATGAGGGCAGCATATGCCCAAGAGGTAATCTGGAATATTTTTAGCCAGCCTTTCATAAGAATGAATGTTTTCCCTAAACAAATGCTTTTCTACTGGATTGAGATATCTAATGAAAGAGAGATAGATTCTGAATGATGGATCTGAAAAAGCAATTTGGTGAAGCAAAACAACATCCCAGAGGTTTTGTTGAAAATATGCCTTATCACCTTTTGACACCAGGTGATACCCCACCTTACTTTTTAGAGACTGTTTTATGATTTCTTCCAAGTGATCCCAGACTGATATTCTAAATGCAAGTTTATTTTCAGGCATGAAATTCTAAATAAAGTTTTATCTATAAAAGGTGCATGCTACAAACTTTCAGAATTCAATGAAATATATAAATGAAGCAATTCAGTAAAATAAGTGAACCTTCTTGCTCTTTGTAACTTGGAAGCAAAGGTAATAAGTTTGCTCACATTTGCATGTGAGTCATGTGGAGATATATTCTTAAAGATAGTGAGTGTGGGCTCAAACTCATCAAGAAACAAACCATCCAGACTTTGTAAGAAAAATAGCTGTAAATAATTATATTGGGGCCTTGACATTGTAAAAAGAAAAAAAATCACAGAATAATCTCAGTGAAACAGGAAAGAAGTAGAAAATTGTGAAGATTAGAAAATAATCAGATTTTAATTTAATCAGAAATTAAAATTAATTTGGAATCTGTATTTTATTATTTTCAGTCAATGGTAAACATCAAAAATAAGTAACTTTGATATTCAAGTAGTGTATAGTGTAAATGCCAAATTGTGCAGAAACAGCAGTCATTTAGATGTTTCACATATGTAAAAGAAATACTAAATTAATACTATACAAGAGTTTCACAAAAACATTGTCCATCTCTGATAAAAACTAGCATGGTATTTGCTTGGCTCTTATAATATTTTGAATGAGATTGTATTTATCCTTGTATTAAAATTATATTTACTATTGTACTGACTCAAAATAAGTTGATAGTCTCTTCACTTGCAGACACTCAGATTTTCATTGTTTTTGCTTTTTAATGCCTCTCATTACTGTAGATACATGAAAAGTTCATACAGCATGATTTATTTTGTAAGTTCATATCAAACCCACCTAACATTGTCATGCCTCTGAATGTAGATCTTATGGAAAATTCTTTCAGGTGGCTTAAGGAAATCTTCCTTCATTTCCATGGCAACATTTCTGGGCAAAAGGCTCATCAGGAGTCGTTCCTAAAAATAAAAACAAACATATTAATTGTGAGACACATGATGAACTTTTCTTCTTTTCACTACATCTAGTAAACTGGAATATCTTTGACACCCTCCATTCTGAACAGAATTAACCCAGTATTTGACAAACTAGAAGAAAGGCACATTTTGCAAGTCTCCTTCCTTCGTGAATTAGATGGTAGGAGTCAGGAAACCCCTTTCTTCTGCTATGGCTTTTGTCGTTTGAAATAGTGTGTCCCCCAGAAGATAGAAGAGTCTCCTCTTTATCAATAAAGCAATCAAGATGCTGTTCTTTCACAGAGACTTTAAGGAATGGCTGTTATCATTCATCCTGAGTTGTAACTCCATGTTTTGACAATATATATAAGACCACTGATAGTGTTGTTTAATTTTTTTATTGTTAGAGATTTTTAGAGGTCTTTATTGTTAAAAATATTGATAATTCATGACCAATTCTGGTATAAGCATTTGTTTTTATTTTACTTATTGCTTTTGTATCACGTTATATTATAAGGCATCTAGACCAAAGAAAGGAGGCAGCATACAAACCCTAATTATAAATAATTAAAAGTTAATAAAATAATTCACTGTGTCTAATTTATATACCTAAAAAAGTAGTATAAAATCAAACCAAATCAAACAGTATTAGAATTGCCCCAGGCACAAGCTTATGAAGATGTTTCAGAAATGTCAATTATTTTCATCCAGCATAAAGATCATGGGTCTGGTTGTGTACACGTTTAAGTGTTATATTAAACATATGACTTTTTTTGGGTAAAAGTGTTATTTATTTATTTATTTATTAACAACCTTAGTGTCTGGTGTACAGCGTGTTGTCTTGGTTCATGAATTGTTATATACAATCAATAATAGTTAACTAACAGTAAATAATAATTAATTTTTATATTTCCATTATCAGTATATCAGTTGATAATATATTTCCTTGGTCCTCTCTTCTCCCAATAGCATTCTCCTTCTTCACCATTAAACAAATATATTTTTGATATTTGATATTTTTCATATGTAAATGATTAAATAAAACATTTTCTTCTATATGTATACCAACAATAATAGCATCCATATATAGCATTTTTTTCTTATCAACTTACGTTATTTTCATAAATGTTATCTTATTGAGTCACCATATATCTTATTTTCATAAATCTTGTTTAAGCTCAATTTCTCCATAATATTCAAACAATTCTTATCAATCATAATTTTTTCAGTAATTAACATCTAAATATCGAAATTTTCCACTTAAATATATCATCCCAGTATTTTCATATTTTATATATTATAGAAATACTATACTACTTATCTATCATAACATCTACCTATAGCATCTTTTCTAATCAATTTATATTTCACTTCTATTTGTAAAATTGATTGAATCACTATATATTCTTTTTTCAAAGTTCTTATTAAGCCTAATTTCCCCTCAATATTTCAATTATTCCTTAATCCTAAATCTTTTCAAATTTAATTTGTCTTTAAAGTTCAAACTTTTCCTTCACTTTGATCATACCAATATTTTTACATTTTATGTCTTATCAAAAAATACCATACTACTTATATCTCTTATCCCACTTATTCTAAAGCCCCTTTATAGCCAAAGTTATTTGTTTATTTAGCCATATTCAAACCAGTGCTTTCTCTTATAATATTCCATCTGGTAGAGCGAGTCAAGTCTCTTAAGCCCGTCTCTAATCTTCTTCCTTTGCCAAATTGTTTTCCAAATTAATATTTTCAAGTTATCAAACAGTTCTTGTATTTTTGTAGTTGTTGTTAGGCGTGGAGGATACATAATATGTAAGATGTATGCTTTTTGACTCCCAAATAGTGATTCTCCTAGCAGTGTCCATTTTGTTAAGCTTCTTTCTTCTCAGGTTTATTTTGACGTTCTAATGCATATCTTTTCCATATTTATTGTTGTATCCAAATCTTGTGAGTTTTTTCCTGTTTGTATTTAGTTATAATTCCCTTCATTTGTGACTTTGCCATTTAAGTCATTTTTTTCTAGTTCTGTTATCTGATTTGTTTGTTCATTCTTTACCATCATTCTTTGGATGTTTTTTGATTGTAAATTTAAGTTAGAAGTGTATTCATTTATGTTATCCAAGTTATGTTTAATCTCCTCATGGTTTAGAACTATTGTGATTAAACATATGACTTTTGATCATTGGAATTGCCAGCAACCCTAGCACTAAACTGATAAATGCTGGTCATTAATTAAATGCTATTTATATTTTATTATAAACGTTCTGGTAACTTTCAGAAACCTATAGACATTCTTGTCTTTTGATGATTTTTTACAAAAATGATATGTAATAAAATCTTTCATTCTTTTCTTCATTTTTTTAAACATGCACCCCCACTCATCCCAGCAATATTATTGTTAAATTTGCAGATGATACAACAGTGGTGGTGCTTATCTCCAAGGCAGATGAGTCTGCCTACCGGGATGAGATGGAGGGGTTGCTCTTGTGGTGCAGAGATAATAATTTGGTTCTCAACAAAACTAAGACCAAGGAGCTTATAGTAGATTACAGGAAGAATAGGTGAGGTATTCAGCCCCTGATCATCACTGGAGACTGTGTGGAGCAGATGGAAAGCTTTAGGTTGCTGGGTGTTACCATAAAGAAGGACCTGACCTGGAGTGCTCATGTTATAGCAGTGGTTAAGAAGGCTCAGCAGAGATTATATTTCTTAAGACTTCTCAGGAAACAACAAATGAATAAAAAACTGCTGGTGACCTTCTACCGTTGCTCCATAGAGAGCATTCTAACCTACTGCATTTGTGTGTGTTTTGTTTGCTGCACAGTAGCAGATAGGAAAGTGCTCCAGAGGGTCATTACTATCACCCAGAGGATAATTGGCTGCCCTCTCCTCCTTTCTGGGACGAACTGTACAGTTCCCATTGTTTTAGGAAAACTCAAAATATTCTTAAAGACTCAACTATTCCGGAAATTCTTTTTTTGGGGGGGGGGGAGCTATTACCATCTGGCAGACGGTACAGGATAATACAAACAAAAACAAATAGGCTGAAAAAATAGTTTTTATCCCAGAGTTGTAACTATATTAAATATCACAGTATAGTTGTCAGAATCCAATTATACTTCATCTCTAGTTATCAATTATAGAAAACCCCATTTCTGCCGCCTCTGGATTCTGTCATACAAGGAGGGGAAGGGGGTGAACAAAGGGGCTTTATGGCCCTCACTTCCTTCGGTACAACTTCAAAGGGATTGAATGTGGATAGCACCAAAAGGCCTTATCATAACAAAGGAGGCTATTACCTTTCATGTAGTTTTCTCTGAAGTCTCCATCCAGCCGGCAGAAAGGAAAAGGGGTGGGAAATGTAATGCCTGAGACTGTTGCTGGAAGTAGGGGGGGGATTGGGTGGGGCTACTGGGAAACCCCTTAAAACCTTGAATGGGAGAGCTTGGACCCCAAGTCCTGTCTAGAACGCCTGCAACCATTATCTCTTAATAAAGGATTCCTGTTGGAAGAATTATTCCAAGAGTTCTGTCTTCTTAAGATGCAAAGTGGGGTGGGTCCTTACAATAGTGCAACACTGAAGTGCAATATCAGGGCAGCGCAATGGTGAATAGAATGTGAAGGGGGTGTGTATATAATGTATGTTCTTATTTGTGGCTTTTACTTACATGTAGTATGCACTGTGGACAGCACTTAATTTTGTTGTGAGTTACACAATGACAATAAAGATATTCTATTCTGTTCTAAATTTCTTAAAATGGTAAGAACGATTGGTAAATATTAACATTCCTCAAAAATCTTCAAATGTATATAAGTCATATAATCACTTTCCATGAAGTAAGATGGAATAGATTGGCCTGGTAATTCTTTGCTTTCTAGAAAAATGTTAGGATCCACTTGCTCATGTATTTTTGAGAGGCCATCTTAATATCTCCATTCCTCTGTACAGCAGAAACCACTTTGCTGAATAGAGCTTCAAGAGCAGATAATTGGTTCTTATTACCATTATCATCATAATGCTATTAATAACAGTTTATAGTAGAATATATAAGATTAGTGTGTGAAAGAATGTAGGATCAATTGATATCTTTTCTGTCTGCTCTTTTGGAATTTAATTAGCCTGCTCTTTTGCTATGCCTAGCAAAGCAGATTATTAAATGAGACAAAACTATTACAAAATTATTTACTGAAATTTGTATCAGATAAACATTAATTAAGGCTATGCTACTGAAGTGCTTAAAAGTGGCAACTTTATATTATCTAATATATTACTCTGATTAAAACACCCTTTTTAAAATAAAATCCTTTAAAAGAAACCTTTTTAGTTAATGCTACTTTTTAATTTTTTAACAAATGAAGTAGGCAAGGAATGCTTAATATTTTTTGAGGCTGACTCAAGTAATGAAGCTTACCCTGTTTTTCTCCAATGATTAGATTACTCAAACATCCCTAATTATACAAGCATACTGGAGCCGTACTCATTAGGAATTCTTTTTCTTTGAAAATAGCTAGCACAAGCAGCCAAGACATTTTTCAATGCTCTTGCTGCATAGCTAAGACATCACAAATAATTTTGCATGATCATGCAAACCTTCTGCCAGAACCCTCAACATATCTGCTTTAATCTTTCCCTTTACCCCTTTTCTTGCTTTTGCCTATGTATTCTTGGGGCTTGCCATATTGTTGGGGGAGGGTATTTGCAGGGGGATTGTTATTTGCTTTGCTCTGCTCTGGGTGAGATGCCTTCCCTCTAGGCAAAAGAAATGCAATCTGAAAACATCTGTCTTATCTCCAGACACCTGAACCTGAGACTGCTGGGAAATGAAACCAAGAGAGACCTTGAGAAGCAAGCTAAATCTCCAGCTTCTCATAACATCGTGGCACCTGTGGATTGGCTGGATTTCAATTGGATGGTTGGACACTAGGGGGAGGAGTTCTAAATTGCCTTTTTGATGTAATCTTTTACGCACTAAATCTTAGACCTTGCTTTGCTCTCTTGCCAT